TATATATATATATATATACATATATATATATATATATGTATGTATGTATATATATATATATACACACATATATATATATATATATATATATATATATATATATATATATATACACACATATATACATATATACAGCCTGGTAGATATCAGTTCATGCATTTATTAGGAATTGAGCCTTTTTGTAGTGCTAGCACCATGATCTGTTGTTTAAGCTACATATATTGATGCCATGCACTATTAGCTTGCGTGTGTGTGTGTGTGTGTGTGTGTGTGAGAGAGAGAGAGAGTGTCATTGTGTTTATGTTTGCACATGGTGGTCCGGAGAAATGGGTCAACTTTACACCAGGCTCCAAAACTGGCAACTGCAAATCAATCTGACATCATCCAGAAATATCGTTCACGTGCAGAAATACACCCCTCATTAACCTGTAATCAATTTAGACTGAATCTCTGGAGCTCATTAACCGCTGGCACATCGATCTGCTCTCGTATCAATACATGTCTGACCTGCAGGCTGAACATTTGTTGTTGTTGTTGATGCTGTTGAAGTTGTGTGTGTTTTATAACATACCGTACCATGAGGGCGAAACCATCCAATCGCTGATAAGCAGATTCAGTAGTAGCCTAGTTACTGTAACAAGCAGTCAGACAACTAAAGAGGGAATATAAGCAGATATCTGGTGATGAACAGTTCTGTATTGTGTGCGTTTTCTGTTTATTTGTGGTCGTGAATTGCATGATGGGATGCCGATCTCTGCTCTGTCCACTTTTAATGGTGAAAATTCAACTCTACGGTTTAACAAAGTGACTTTTATTGACATTCTAGTGGTTTTAAATAATACAACGCATAAGAAATAAGTCTTTAACAGAAAATGTGCTGGCAATTTATTACAAAGGTTTTGTAGTGTAATATACAACACCAACCTAGAAAATATATTATTAATATTATAACCTTTATTGTACCAGGATAGACACATTGAGATTAAAAATCTCTTTTACAAGAGCGTCCTGCATGGCCAAGATTAGGCAGAACACAAGTCACATGAGTCCAGACAACAAACAAAAAAACAGTTTAAAGGTAACTTGAATCACACTGACAACTATTCAAAACATCTACAAACCTGTGTATCAACTTCTAAAACTTTTATAGTCTTTTTAAAAGCATGTAGTGAAATCAAGTCTTCGAACTGCAACTGTGTTTGCAGATTATTCCAAGCAAAAGGTGCTGCGTACTTAAAAGCCTTTTTTCCCCATCTCAGTCCGCACTTTAGGGACAGAGAGTAAATAGATATCCTGTGACCGAAGACCATAGTTAAGAACAGGCTACAAATGTAATTCTGGAGATATGATGGGAGTAATCCCAGTATTTGTAAACAAGAATATGAAAATTGCTTGAGCCACTTTCACACATACAGACCTTTCCGGAAAATTACCGGCAATTTTCCGGAAACTGTATGAGTGAAAGTGTTCAAAGGTTGTATGTGTGAACAGGTCCTTTTTGAAAATGCCGGTAAATTCGTTCTGTCTATTTTCCGGAAAGAGAAGTTGTAACATTACCGGTAATTTGCCGGAATGCTGCGCTGTGTGAACGCAGAAGGAAGATTGCCGTAATAAGCGCGTGCACGTCTAGAACATGCTGACGTAAGACATCTGCTTTAGCCAATCACAACAGTCAGACGCATTCACGTCCGCGCGGTTTATGAGGATAAAAGCCTTTGAATATTTTTCCAGACACATTTAGCTGCTAGAAGTTAGTCAGATCACGTTTATATGTTCTTCTTAATGCCAACTGTGTAAATAATCATCGATGAGATGCTTATGATAAGCCGTTGTTTGTTTACCTTCAAGCTTTGCGTGTGCCTATGAAACAGCCTGTGAGCGCCAGCACACACACATATTATGAACATCTCGACATGCGAAAGTGATCCTCCATATGTTTTCATCAAAGTTGTTCACAATATTGATCATCCACAGAGTTTGTAATTTAGTCAAATGTTTGCAAACACAAGCGCAGCCGTTTAGAGCTCATTTGTGGTGAATGATGTCAGAATTTACCGGTATTTTGGAATGGATGTGTGAATGCTCTTTTCCGGAAAATTTCCGTAACGTCCTCGCCTGTGTGAACAGCACTTTTTTCAATATACCGGTAAAGTCTTTCCGGAAATTTTCCAGATATTTACCGGTATCACTGTGTGAAAGGGGCTAATGTTGAGTAAGGGACTAAAAATTAGTTATAAATCTTAGTGCACCATGGTAAACAGTATCCAATGCATTCAGTCATTGAGACGAAGCATGCATATAGATTACATCATCGTAGTCCAATGTCGACATGAATGTTGCCTCAACCAGCTTCTTATTAGCACCAAAAGAAAGGCCGTTCTTAATTCTAAAATAGAAGCCTGAAATCGCTTTTAATTTTGTCGCCAATTGCTGAATGCGAGTACTAAAAGAAAGTGTATCATCAATTAAAATTCCAAGATATTTGTACTGGGACACCAATTCAATCTCTGCACCATGAGTAGCAGTAACAGGACCTAGTTTTTGCTTGGCTTGTTTTGAATTTGAAAATAACAAAAGTTTAGTTTTATTGGCATTTAAAAATTATATATATATATTTCACTTTATATATATATACACACATATATATATATATATATATATATATATATATATATATATATATATATATATATATATATATATATATATAT